ATGACTTTAGATATTCTCTGCAGTTTCTCTTGCTGTTGATTTCTACCTTTATTCCATTGTGGTCAGACAAAATAAACAGATTTTTTTCAGGTTTCCTTTCTTGTTGAGGCTTGCTTTCTTTCTCAATATGTGACTAATCTGAGAGAAAGCTCCATGGGCTGCTAAGAAGAATGTGTGTTATGTAGTGGTTGAATGGAATATTTTGTGAATATCTCTGTCTGTTTGATTTATGATGCTATTCAACTTCAATATTTCTGTTTATTTATTTGTTTTGGTCTGGATGATATGTCAAAAGGTCAGAGGTGGTTGTTGAAGCCACTAAAGTGTTGCTGTGTGTGGTTAATCTGTGACTTTATATCTAACACACACACACACACACAGACACACACAGACACACAGACACACACACACACACACACACACACACACACACACAATTTGACTGGTCCCAATTTATCAGGCTTGGTTTACTTTCTTTTTTATTTTTTGTTTTTGGTTTTTCCAGACAGGGTTTCTCTGTGTAGCTTTGGAGCCTATCCTGGCACTAACACTGGAGAGCAGGCTGGCCTCAAACTCACAGAGATCCACCTGCCTCTGCCTCCTGAGTGCTGGAATTAAAGGCTGTGTGCCACCAATGCCCGGCTTGGTTTACTTTTCAGAAGTGTAAAGAAGTATTTTTATTTTTGTTCCCTCTAAGTGGCTCGGACCAGGTTGGAAGTATTGATAACTGATGCTGTAAAAAGCTATGATGACTTCTGAGTCTGAAGAGATGCTGCCCTGTAAGCCAAAGAGTAGTCATTGAATATGTTGAGAGAAGAATTAACTTAGATTATAGGTTCTGTGAAGTGCCTTGAAGCTCCAAGGTTCTAGAATGATCAGTGCAACTCCATAATGTAGATTTATGGCTGATGCAAAATTGAGGGAACCTTGCAGGATTAGAGACAAGTCAGGTAAGGGTACTTCAAAACCAGTTTAAGTTTAAATCTAAGGATAAGTCTGGGACCTAGATGGTGGAAGCTTTGGTTTATGTTCATCATCAATACTGTTCCTGAAAGCCATAGGTGATACATGTACTCATGAAGTTGCAGAATGCAAATGCTGACCAAAGTTGGAGGAGGCAGTGAGGAGGAGAAAGGTCTTTGGAAGAGGCTTTTTCTCCCATTGCCCCCATGGTAACTGCAGTCACTTAAGCAGCAAATGGGAGGCCAAAATAGAAAGGAATTATTTGAAAGAAGAATGTACTAGATTCAAGTCCTTCATTCCTAGGAAAATGCAGACCTAGGTCAAGTGTAGTCTATGTAGGACACTAACTAGCCAAGTACGGTAAAGAATTGAATACTGTGGAAGGATCCTGAATCCATCTTGAGTTTTGATGCTGTCTGATTTCTTTCCCAATCAGCAGCATCATCTCCTTCTCTTAGGAGATCTCAGCTGCAGAGCTTGCTGTATCAATCAGGAGTCCTAGCAGGACTTACAGAGAGTTTTTAAGAACCCAGTCCAGTGTCATGGAATCTCTTTATAAACAACTCAGATGCCATCTTGATTGATGTTTGTGTAATCGTTCCTTTTAATAGAAGGGAACTCTTTGAGGTAAGGTCATTTTCTTTTTCTTTTTTTTTGTTTTCCAAACATTTAATTTTATGACTTAAGCCCTAACTGCTCACTAAGTATTATTGAATCATATATATTCAGCAAGAAATCTTAGCAAGAGTGCTGTTTAAAATGCTTAGAATTTTTTTACTTTTTGAAATTATTATATAATTACACCATTTCCTTTTTCTCTTTTATCCTTCCAAACACTCTAATATGCTTCCCAACTCACTTTCAGATTCATGGCCTCCTTTTCCATGAGTGTAATCCATGAAATAATAAGACTTGGTGGCTTTTTCTGACTTGAAAAGGGAGATTAATTTTTTTTCTGGTCTAGACAAAGAACACCAAAGCTACCTTCAGCTGCCTCTGGTGTCTACCCATGTTAGTTCTCTGCGGTCATCTAGCCATAAGTTAATGAGTGCATATGGAACAGCACTGATACTTTTTTTGTAAGGAACTGAATACATTGTCAGAGTCCCCTCAATCTAACATAATAAATAATGTTATCTTTTGTAGGCCAATCAATTAGATCACTCCATGTGCAAAAAGCCAAACAATTATTTTTAAATTACAAACAACTGCTGGTTATGATATTCATACCACAGTATTTACTTTTTCTTATTAAGTGGAAGCCAGTGTAGTCTAAAAAATAGAAGTTAAGAATTCTAATATTGTCTCTTTTAACAGACAAGTTGACTTATCTATGAGTATTAAAAGTGTTATTTTGGTGATTCAGAATTAATGCAGACTTAGTATATGTCAAGTCAGCCTATTTTAGGCAATGTCCCATAAGCTATGTAGGAAAAGATGGAGAGAAGGTCAAGACATTATGACAAGAGGCGCAAGAATCGATACTTCGATATGTCATATAACTTGAAATGATTTGTCAACTGGACAACAGAGTTGCCTCTTTTATTAGCACATTCAAACAGCAGCAGAAAAACAACCTTCATTTGATTCTTACTGAGATTTATTGTTTTTAATAATGCCACTTTTCAGAAGTATAGTCATGTGCTCACTTAGACAGGCTGACAAAGTGAATACTCATATGTAATGCAAAGTACCTTTCAGGTCATAAGTTAAGACATATATAGTGCAGTGACAGGTCAATCAAATGCCCGCAGCAGACAGCAAACCCCAGCCTCCCTTTCCCATCAACTGGCTCTCATTTTGCACCAAAGAACCCACAATGGAAAGCTGGCAAAACATAGAACACAGATGGCTACCGGCTGACATGAAAAGTAAATTTTATTAAACATGTTTACATACATGAGTGGGGAGTTCATTTAAAAGCACAGGGGAGTGTTAAGACAAGTGGTCAAAATAGAAAGATACTACCCAATTATAATCAGTTGATTGTTGGCCACTAAGACAGAACGGAATCTAGTAGAAGTGCACCAATTGCTTCGGTTCTTCCTGCACAGCATGGTGAGTGGTGGTCAGTCTGTGCCCTGTAGAATGATGGGCAGGTAATTCTGACATGTGTAAATAATAATAAATAATTCACTTGGTGCAGGCAGTATGTCTATGGATTAAAACCTAGTGTGTACACAGTGTCTACATGTGTTACAGCCCCACAGGAGGAATCTACACCAAAATATTTATTAGAAGGAATTTGGTCCATACTACATCACGTTTTCCAGAGGGTAAAAAATAAAGTCCATCTATAGACATTTCACCCCAGACCCACTTACCGAGTCTGGCTAAAACCTGCAAAATGTCTATAACAAAAATGGATGGCTTAGATTTCTTGATTATTTCAGTATATTAATTAACGAGCAAACTGTACAAGTACATGCAACATACAAGCTGGCCTATGTGGAGCTAACATACATTATTAAATAACCTTTTGTCTCTTTTCTTTTTTTCTTTCTTTTTCATATTTTTTATAGAAAATGTGCATGCAGCTTTGAACAGCTCCAAGTCATGCTGCTCTAACTGTGAAATCACAAAAGTGGAACGACTCAGAAAAGGAGGGAGAGCATATCGATGCAGCTGCAGGACCAGGTGCCTGCAGCACATACACAGAGATCACAAGGGAGATCCAAGGCCAAGAAAACCCAAAGGAAGAATATGCAAATTGGAATTTGACTGTATTCTTTTTCTTCCCCCAAAGTAAGATATTGTGCATTAAAAAAACCAAGCTTTGTGCTTGCATTGACCTTAAAGAAATATAAACTAAAATCCAATAAAAACATTAGTTTAGTGCAGTTATCTTAACTGGAATTTCCAGTGCAATATTAAACATCTCATACCATGCTCTTTCCAGGGCAGATGAGAGAGTCTACACTGAGGCATGGCTGAGCAGCCTGGGCATAGCTGAAAGTGTCTTAGGCTAAAATCCACTCTTAGTCACCATTTTGGGAAGTTGAGAGTATGGTTCCTACATGTGAGCATTTTTTCTATTGTTTTCTGGAAGTAAAAGGCATTGCACAAAGGGTTTCCAAAGCATTACTATGGGATTTTTAGCCTTCATCCCCAGCATAAACTGTTGTTTATGGAAAGTCTTCCATGCCAAACAATGAAAAACATAAACAAATTATCTGGAATGCAAACAGATACGCTCTTCACCGAGAAAGTGATTCTGTGACTACTAGTTTGGAAGGTGAGCTTCTATTGGGGTGAGAGTCCTACATACAAGACTTGGAAGAACTGTAAACTGGCTGCCAGTGATACCCTTCCCTGGCTTTACCTCACTGAGCTTTTGAAAACTTTGGGGTTGTGGGGGGGGAGAGAAATGCTACAAAAACTGCTTCAGCCCTTTTTGGTGCTTTTGGAAAAAGAAAGGAAGGGCCTCTGTTATCACCACTAACCCTGTTATGACAAAGCAAAGAAAAAAAACAAAGCAAAAAAAAAATAAAAACAAAAAACAAGTGCAAATAACAAAGACATGAAGACAGAGAAACAAAGACAAGGGGAGAAAAGAAACTAACCAGCAAACAGCACACAAGTAATAAAGCACACAGACGAACTAAACAACCTTAAACACCAGGGAAATAACCCCGCTTGTGGTCTGTGCAGAAACATGTGAAGTACAACTTTTCACATAGTGAGAGTTTCCAGTTTGTTCTATTTGGCGCGCGCGCGTGTGTGTGTGTGTGTGTGTGTGTGTGTGTGTGTGTGTGTGTGTGTGTGTGTGTGTGTGTGCTTGACGTTTCCTCTTTTTCTATTTGCTGGAAGCATCAGTGACTCTCACTAGCGTGTCTCTTCTTACTGTAATTTGAATGACTGCCTTGTTCTGTCATATGAAGCCATGTTTTAAACAACAATTGGGACATGTTATCGGAAAAACTACTACAGGCAAAACACAAGTTGATTGTCTGTCTCCAACAATGCTCTTGATCATGAAATATCTGGTTCTGATAATTATCCTGAAATGTGAAGTTTGGTTGGAAGGAGAGAGTTTACTATGATCGGATGCAGGGAGGCCCAGATGAACTCTCCAGAGATGATTGGGAAGCCCGGCGGGTCAGGGGAGTGAGAGTGGGATCCACCAGTGATGATGGAGGGAACAATTTATACCATCCAATCACCATGCTGGACAGATCAAGTTCTTCCAACAAGATTTGAGCTACACCCATAAAGCATTTGTGGTCCATTCTTCCATAGTCACCCCAGACGATCACCTGTAGACAGAGACACAATGTAATTTGGAATTTCTTTTTCCCACATGTTAGGGGTTCACATCTCCCATTCTATAAAAGCATGGAGTAGGTATAGGTTAAGAAACAAGCCTATATAAAAGAAAGCATGCAAACAAATGTCTACATATGTGTTTACTAATATATAAATCAGCACTGCCCTTGTGGGACTTTTGTATAATAAACAATGGTAAGTCTGTAGACATATGAAAATTAATATCTGTATATCAAGGCGGGTAGAACAAGCAATCTGATTGAGGGTATGGTAAAGTACATTTTCAATAGCTTTTGCAAACAGAGTAAGAGCAAGCATACTTCATTTAAATTATAGCCTTGACAGTGCAGGGGCAGGTGGAGATATAACTGAAGGCAGTTATCTCCTGATGGTTTGCTTGATGGTTTAATTTGATGGATCAGTAGTGAGCAAGTGAGCTCACACACACTTAGTATTATACTATACTCGTGTGAGACAAGCCTTCCATTGCACTCATTCTTGGGGGTCTGTGTTCTAATCCTGGGGTCTCCAATAAAAGTCTGGTTGTGAACCATTTACTTGCTGAACCTGTTTTCTCAATGTACGGTTATACAGAGATCTAAAATATAATTTTTACCATAGAAATAATGATATTTAGGGGAAAAGTCATTAGAAACTTTAAAAGAGGTATGTATGGAAGTACCAAACAACAGTTATTTGCTGGTCTCTATTCTGTTTCTTCTACATTCTTCCATTTTATAGTTCATCACTGATAATGAGTAACAATCAATTGATTATTGTTATCATTTTTGCCGCAGTATCTCCATCTATCTATCTATCTATCTATCTATCTATCTATCTATCTATCATCTATGTCTATCATAAATATATCTACCTATATATCATCTATCATCATCTTTCCAGCTATCATCCATCTATCTACCACCAATACTACCTACTATCTAACTCTATCATCTACCTTCAGTATGACTATGTATCAAGAAGAGAAAAAAATATGACAAAAGTTCAAAGTTTGGAGAGGATAGAAACAAGGAGGGAAAGAGAAAGGCATTACATTTTGTTTCTTTCCACTACATACACCATATATTGTTGATACTATATAGATATTGTATTATAAATTGACCAGTCTCTATCTTTCTACCTAAGGACATTAATAAGTTAGGCTTTACTGAACTGATTTTCTTCAATGCTGTTCACATCTTTAGTTGGGCTAATAGCTGTCACCATGTAACTAGCCATGCAAAGTCTTACTGACCTGCAGAACTTTACCCTGTGGACTTTCATCAAATACCAGGGACTGCTGATAGAGAGGGTCGAGGGTTTTCCGTGCAATTCTTGTCTTCTTTTTGGCAATGCAGGCTCCATTTTCCAAGAGATACACTTTTACATAGGGCGCTAAGCAAAGGTGAGTAGACATGTAAGAATGTATTGCTTGAGCTAACTCTATTTTTATTAGTTGATGCTTTATTGAGTACTTGGAGATTCTTACTATATTCACATTTCCATTGCTCTAAAATTTCTCCTCCTTGCAATCCACACATACTGTTGTGTCTTTTCTCATTTCAAGGAAATGCCCACACAGTGAGTCAGGGCTGGCTTAACAGGGAAGGTTCACATCTTCAATCTCACTGTTTTTCCTTTTGAGGTTTTAGGTATGCAGAAAAACTATTTAGCACAACAAATAGCTACAATTATGTTTTTTAAAAAGAACAGAATTTTCCTGGTACTTTCAAAAAATTGTGAAAAGAAAACCCAGATCTATTTTATAAAATCAAATCCCACAGACAATTATTTTTTAAGCAATCAAATGAGTGCTTAAAGCAAAATCAAGCCCGTAAGATTCAAATGCATTGTTTCCTCACCCTTTTAGCTAAGATTAAACATAAACCCAAATGTAACAAAATTTTCAAGATTTTCCATATTTAAGTCTTGCTGAGGGATTGGAAAGATGGATCAATAGCAAAGAGCAATACTATTCTTGCAGAGGATCTGGGATCAGTTCCTAGCACCCACGTGGCAGCTTGCAACAGTCTGTAACTCCTGTTCCAGGAGGTTCAGTGCCCTCTTCTGGCCCCTATGAGCACTGCATGGATATGTAGGCAAATCAATGTATACATAACAGTTAAAACAAATACACCTCAAAAGAGCCCTGTCCAAATCAGTGCGACTGACTTTTCCTTACCAGGCGTAGACTTGGAGCCAGGTTTTTGTGTAAGGCTCCGGGCTCTGATAACTTCAACTTCTAACTGCCCTTTTTTATCCTCCATCCCGATTTGGATATCACCTGAAAGTGATAAAGACAAAACAAAATCTCAGCTTCTACTCAAGTCATGAGTCAAGGAGCAAAGGTGGAGGGAGGAACACAGGCAACAGATCCTGCAGTGTTATTTCTGTGATGGTTAATGAACACTGACATATACACTCCTTCCAACTCGCTTTTCTTTCTCAGATTACAGATCAAATTTTTAAAGTATTTTTTCTCAAATTTTGTTTTGGTACTAATACACCATTAATTTCTATAACATTTATTTATTTTTTGATGTATGTGTATGGTGTGTGTGTGTGTGTGTGTGTGTGTGTGTGTGTGTGTGAATCAGAGGACAATTTGCCAGGGTTGGTTTTCTCCTTCTACCATGTGTATCTTGGGGCTGAACCTAGTTAGGTCTTGAGTTTGACAGCAAGTACTTTTATTTATCGAGCCATCTCAATGGTTCCCTAATCCATCTTTGGAGATTTGCACACTCATTGAAAAATAATTACTACCCACAGCATTAGGCTGTTTATAGAACTGTGAACCGTGGTGAAGTCTTCTTGCTCTTATTCCACCTACCATATTTATGTAGCAATGTTAAGTTGTGATTGTCTGAATTTTGACATGGAGAAAAAGCCACAGGTATGATTTTGTTTACTACAACGATGTAATAAATACTGGCTATATGACAGTATTTTTGTTTTATTGACAGTATAGTCCATGAAATGGACAGGATTTTAACGTATTTAAGGAATATTCTATTGATGGAAATATGGTTTATTTACATTGCTGCAATTTGAATTATAATGAATAATTTTGTAAGAATTGTCCAATACTTTGTGGTTATTTCTTGACATTTCCAGATTTTAAGTTTATAGATATAACCATATGAATAGTCAAAATGCCCACACATGTCACTCAGCGTCCTGTGTGGGAGTTATGGTTATGCCTTGTGATCTGTGGACTCATAAATAGGTGTTGGATCCCTTGGAGCTGCAGTTACCAGCACAGATTATGGGTGCTGAGAACTAGGGACCGTTGGGAGAGCAGCAAGTGCTCTTAGCACCTGACATCCATCTCTCTCTCTCTCTCTCTCTCTCTCTCTCTCTGTCTCTCTCCTTCCTTCCCTCCCTCTCTCTCATTTCCTTCATTCTACCTGTTTAATTTTAATATGTGGACCTAGTTTGTATTGATTTCTATTTTCTACTGCTTTTTCACTTAAAATAAATGTTTCCCTTTCCTTCTTGTCTGGTTATCTGTGCTTAATATCTAGTGATTGTATTTACAATATTGTTTTCAGAAAAATATGCTATTGTGGTTGTCATGTTTTTTTTTTAGAAATGATTTACTTTTATTTCTATAAAATGTGTGCAATTTCTGATCATGTTAATGAATAACTTAGGTGACTATAATTCCCCATTTCTAGCGATCTTCCCATTTACACCTAGCTTACCTATATATTCAAACTTGAGGCAAACCATTTAATATGAACCAGGAAAATGGCGGGTCCCCAGGGTGACTCAAATTCTTGATCCCTAGCTCTTATAAGCAAAAAAAATAAAAAAATAAATAAAAAATCCTCCAGTGGAAGAGGAACCTTAAATTAAGGCTCTCTATAGGCATCCCTCCTCTCTAGGAAACTGGCTTTCCGGTAGACAGTTTGCAATGGATTTGACATGGATACCACCTCATCTGTCATGAAGCCACATAGCCACACCTTGTTCAAGCATTTATTTTTGATTTCATTTTTTACATTTTAAGCGTGTGTCTTGTGAATCATAACATAACTGTGTTGAGATCCTTCAATGTCATTTATGCCTTATGTTTGAGAATAGTAATACTTTGTTAATTTGTAATGCCATTACACAATTTTAAATGACCATGTCAACTATAAAATTGCAAAAAAATAATCCTTACCCATGGCAGGAGTGGCAAGGGTTTGGCGGCCAACAAGCTGAGCTGGCCCCAGTCCATCAAGAAAATCACTGAACTGACTGTCGGGTCCTACTCGAACTCCAGGAAATATTAAGCTACAGCAAACAGATTGGAAAAAAAAAAAAAAACAAGTTCTGATCAGCAGACATACCCCCAGTTGACAGTTTGTTTACTGTTTATTCATGTTATCTATGAACCAAGCATATTAGGCTCAATACTGATTGAGAGGAGGTGTATAATCTCACTTTAAGGCCCAAGGCTCCATTCAGGAGGACTCTCTAACAATTTTTAATATGTCATCTGTTCTAGATACTTATAAATTAATATAATTAAATTCACATCTTAATTCATGAGCATTAAATGACATGAATGCAGATTTTTCCAAACAGCTGCTAGTACATTTAGTATATATTGAACAATACAACTTCTTATTTACAAAGAAAACATTTAATGTCTTCAATTTTGAAAAGTTGTATTTATTATTATGTGGTGTGTGTGTGTGTGTGTGTGTGTGTGTGTGTAGGTAGGTAGGTAGGTAGGTAGGTATGCACATGCTATGGCTGTGTATAGAAGTCAGTGGATAGCACTCAGAAACCAGTTCTTTCTTTCCATCTTTATGTGAGTTCTGAGCATCAAACTTAGGTCATTAGGCTCAGGCTTTATCTACGAAGCTCTCTTAGAGACCATAATTTATTCAGATTTGAGTGGTTTTTAAGGCAGCTAAAATGCTGGTGGCTGGATCATTAGGAGAAATTTGTGAGTCTCCTCTTGTAAACCCACTAAACTTCAGTGACTAAAGCATATGGTTACTTGGAAGGAACATTTCCCCTGAATGAGTTCAGCTTTAACCTCAAGGTTCATAAGCATAGGAAAATGCAGATTTGGTTAAATAACCACACAACTTAGTAAAAGTTCTCTCAAATCAAAAATCAAAAACCAAAAAATATTCCTACATGCCTTCAGAATTAACCAATTTTAGAACTAAAAAGCTTTAATTGGAAAAATGATGTAGATAGGGCCTGTTTTATTTTCATGCTAAGGTGAAAAAATGAATTAGTGGTATTTTTAAAAACAGAAGAATGTAAATTCTTATATGTAAAAATGTGTCAGGTTCACAGCATCTTACAGCTAGGAATAGTTTGGAGAGAAAGTGGGGATCAGAAATCAATTTCTTACTTCTAAATTTTCATTAAGCTTCTGGTGGCAGAGCTGGGCTGTATGTTTCATTAAATGTGGCATTTCTATACTATCTGTTCAGTGAAGGACCTCACTTTATTACTTTGATAGATTTGAGGAGATACAGGGATGTGCTCCCAAGTGTTTATAGGGTGTCAGGTTTGCAACAGATGGTGAAACTTCTGGTTATGAGAATAAGTGACATAGTAGGAAATCCTAAACAGTCCATATCCTAAGGCGGGCAGCAAGATGCCACTTACTTTCCCTCCGAGCTATAACTGTTGATGCTGCCATCTGTGGACTCCCGGCTTGGCTGTCTCACCATCTTCCGCATTTCAGCCGCCATTCCTGTTTCTGTGCTTCTCTGGATGGTACTTTTTAACTTCTTGTGGCCCGACTCTAATGGGAGAGAATGGAAAAAGCACCAAGTTTTATTTAGCCATTTTCCCCCTGGATATCAATTGGCTCTGTAAAAGCAATAGTTACTTTTCATTAGCATTAAAAGTTTAATGAGAGAATAATCCACTTAATTAAATCTCTCCCTGAAGAGTTCTTTTGCTGGGAGGTTAGCAGCAGGTGGCACAGCCCACAGCTCCAGGGATGGCCTGTGTCTCTGTGAACAGAATTACTGTAGCACTGCCATGGCAACTTCACTGGAAAGAATAGATATGACACCGGATTGTTACATGGAAAATAATACCCAGCAATTTAACAGGTGACTCCTAATCTGAAATAGTACAACTGTGCTTAAGGAGACCCAAAGAATGGACTACCTCCTACAATTATGGGGAGATTTCCCAAAATGAAAAACTCTATAGCATTGGTGCTTAAATGTAACATCAACCTTCATATAAAGGAACAATGTTCCTTTGTTTCTTTGATGGTTTTTCCAACACCTTAATTTATGCTGCTAGTATTCATGTATTTGTACTGGCCTGTCCTTGGGGTTTAGACAGGATATGCCCTCAGCTGCAGCCACTAAGAGAGCACCAACTGTGCACGTTCACTATGTTCCCATTTAAAAGGGCCCTGCTCACCTCCCACCTTTCACCCCCTCTCTCTCTGCTTCTCTGCCTGTCTCCTCCCTCTCTCCCTTCTTCCCTTTCTCTCTCCCTCCCTCCCTTCCTCCCTCCGCTCTGCTTCTCACTTCTCTTCTGCCACTCCTGTCCTCAGAAGCTGGTCTCCCTTCCCACCTCCCCCCTTTCCCATTCACAGTCCCCCAATAAAAACCCCTCTACCCTAGCTCTGTTGAATGGTCTCTTTCTTTGGTGCATAACTTCTTAAAATTACAACACTATCTAATCTGAGATGGCATATGGGTTATGTAGTTAGGAAAACAGATGCCAATTGCCTTCATTCTAAGGAAACATGACTCTCTGTAGCCTTCTGGTTCATCCTTAAGACCTGCCTGATATTTTGCGGGAGTGGGTATCCACTTGTATTATATACCAGCTTATCATTTTCATCTAAGACAGTGTCTTGTTATGTAGCTCAGGTTGGTGTGTTCCTCCCTAGGTTTCACTGGCCATCTTTGAGCTCCCACCCTTCCTGCTTCAGGTGCCAGAAGCTGGAATTATACATAAGTGCCATCACACTGGGCTCATTTCAAATGTGCATAAACTAAATTCAGAGCAACATCTTTTAGCCCTGTGTAATGCATCAGCCAGTATATTTTACTCATAGTCTGACAGTGAACATTTAAAATGTTTACCTGATTATACATACAATCAGTGCCAACATTTAAAACAAACTACGATGATTTTTCCCTGCACACATAGCATATACATTTCTGCTTTACTTCTTTGTGTTGTATCATCAAGACACATTGGAAATATATGTATACTTCCTGTATATAAAATATATACACATACATCAAATTTTCACATGCCATTATCTTTCACAAATGTAGATATTTAAATACACTCTTAAAAATGTCATATAAATGGTAACATTTTACCCCCTCATTTTGTCTATTTCTTAAATGATGTAATCAAATAGATAATGGATTTAATGGTCTACATATTCTTACAGATGCTTTTTGTGGGTTTATTACATTTTTACTGTTTAACTTCTTATTGCTATTTTTGCTAAAGCCAAAGCATGCATATTACAAAGTCTTCAAGTATTACAGAAATAGCAAAAACTGAAGATAGTCTTTATATCCTTGCCCTACTTTATTATTCTTTCCCCATGCCTTATCAGCCATAAAACTTCTATCTACTTGCTGTTGTTTGGCAGCTAAATCAATATCTAGGAGGGCAGGTGATATGTGAGTGTTGCTCACTGCCATCCCTATCATCTAGAATGGTACTTTTAAACTCAACAATGAGACATTACACATTCTAGCGTGGTGTAATTTTCTCATTCTATTCAGTATAATACGCTAAAATGATGGCATTGCTGTACTAGATAGCAATGCAGAATTCAAACTAAACTATGTCTTCACTTACGGACATTCCGATTATGATAGGGAAGTTTTTACAGAAGAAATTCCTAGAAACTGAAATGCTAGTGATTTCTGTTGCAATTTCTAAATTGCCCTTTGAAAAAGAATGTGGTCACTACAGTGCTATCCACACTCATTGCAATGTCCCCAATTTCCTGCCTGAGGCTCGGGAGTTCTTTTCTCCCTCCCGCATTTTGGTCTTTTGTTTTTCCCATGTGACTTGTTTTTTGTAAAACTTATATTCTTACTGAGGACAGGAATTTCATTCATGGTCAATGTAAATACTGTTCGCATTTATTCATTTATATACTATACTATGCCTTCTTAGGGGTAGTTCATTTAAGAAATTGGTGTGTTGCCTTTCATTCATGTATTGGTTAGATCCCACATCAGAGACAGGAGAAAGCCAGGGTATGCAAGTTGAATATTCTAATCCAAAAATGCAAAATCAAAACCACCTCAAAAGTCCCAAGCTTTGTGGTTACTGATATGATATCACAAGCAAAATACTCCTCCATGTGATAGGTTGTAATCAAAACATAGGTGGATTAAAAGGGATTCTGGGCTAGGGAAGGTCTGTTTACTTCAGAGGATAACCCACACTGTGAGGATATGAACAACACAAAGAAGAGTCAGTGGGCTATAAAAAAGGAGAGAAAATATGAATTTGGAGAGGGGCAGGAGTGACATATGGGGAAGAGTAGTGGCTAAAGTTAATTAATATATACTGTATGCTTATATGAATTTCTTAAAAATTGCTATGGTCCCACCCCTAAGATCTAAATATAAAGACCACACAATGTGTAAAAAAATTTAAAAAAACCTGAAACACTTCTGTACCCTGGCTCCTTAGATGAATGATGTTTAGTCCCTATTATCAAAGTATCAAAAGAAGTGGAGTTACGATGGTTGTTTGCCAAGGGTTTGTGAGGCAGCAGGGTCAGGGTGGAGTACCAAAGTGTACTGACGATGGTGCCCTGGGGGAGACTCTAAATGGTGAGGCTCTCTTGCGAGCTGGAGGAAAAACTATTAAAAGGATTAGTAGTGGGAGTCTTGGGTTAGCATGGTTGTTCACACTTTCCTTCAACTTTCAAACAGTAATTGCTCAGAAAGAATTTCCTATGATCATACTCAATTCCAGGGGCCAGAGCCATATTAAAACATAAATGTTTGCTACCATCAAGATTACACCGTACTTTGTGTATGCAAGGGAAGACAACAACAAAGATATATTGTCGGTGGCAACAGGAGCCACGAATTAAACCCTGGACGGAGTAAGAATACAGATAGCAATGGGGTGGAGCAGCAAATGGTTCCATTGGCAAAGCCATGAAGGACAAGTTCCATACTGGAGGGTGGATCCTGGAAACAGCAGTGAGAGGCCAAGCACACTGGTGGGTGGTGATGCAGAGGTGGTTGTTCTCACAGCAGCTCTCAGGTCCTTGTCCTTGAGTTCCTTTTCTGATGATGATGTTGACTCCAGCCCAGGGACTCTATTACAGCAGATCTCAGGACTCCGTGGGTATCTGGTTATCCAGGTTACCAAGTTGCTGATTACCCATACCTGATTGTTTTTCACCTCCTAAACACAGGCTAAACTATTTAAACATAGGTTTAAATATGTAACACTTTCTACATATTTGCTTGATGAATGTAAAGAAAAGACTTGAGAAATAAATAACCTTTATCGATGGCACTTTCACTTACACATTTCTTATGGTTGTATGTGTCTAAGTGTGTGTGTCACCTAAGTGCAGTACCCACAGAGGTCAGAGGAAGGTGTTAGATTCCCTGGGACTGGATTGTCAGGTAGTTGTGAGAATACAGGTATTGGGAGCTCAACTTAGGTCTTCTAGAAGATAAGCGTAAATCCCTAAATGATGAGCCATATTCCAACTCCAATTAATTTCTAATTTTAAACTGAGAATCAATTGTTCTAAAAAGAAGGTTAGAACTATAGAGTATTTCTAGGGTGGTTTTTAAGCTAAATAGTTTTCTCATTGTACATATTATAAACACCAGAAAAAGAAAAAAATACATTTGAGAAGAAAGTTATTAAACTTTATATATTTATATTCACCAAATCCTATAGTCCTGAATAATAATGCTTTTATAATTTTCAAGCTTTGTTAATTCTTAAGTTGGAAGCCAGCCAAAGAACTGACACCCGCCTGTTGACTTACTTATATTAACAAATATCAATGAAAAGAAAATGCCATTGGACTGAGCCTCAGAAAGGCCTGGGTAGAAGCTAACTAAACATTTTCAGCTTTGAATCTAAGGGCTTAATGTTAATTTAGAATACAAAAGCTGGAAGGATTTTTGTTTTGGGTGTAAGGTGGTTATAAATAGGCAGTACTTATTCTGGACCCAATTTCTTCTAGATTTTGATGATAGCCAGGAGCCCAGAGAGAAAGCCTTGCCCTAACAGGGTGTACATTGTAGAGTCACAGCAACTTGTTCAAATCACTTTAATGAGCAGCAAATGTATGGTTAGAAACCCAACTTTTGCAATCTCAATATTGTGATCATTCTATCATACTACAACTTAGGAGAGCATAAAGTCTAGTCTGACCCACTTAGAAAAACAGATAAAATGGTTTTGTTGCAGATATTTTCATGCATACATTCATACATGTTTTTGCAGATTCATCTGTGAAACTGTTAATATAACAATCTACATAGGTACAAATGTATTACAGTCATCTGTTTTTCAATAAGTATAATCTATAAAACATTAGGAAATGTAATTCTAATTATTAAATGTGATAATCCACATAAAGTAATTAAGACAAGAGTGGAGAAAGGAGGAAGAGGAGAGTGAACAGGAAAGAGGAAATACAGAAGTAGGAGAAGTAGAAGAAGAAATGAAAGAAAAGAGAGGAAAATAGGGAAAGAGAACTGGGTAGATAGGGCAAGGAGGAGAACTGGAGAGCTAGAAACAG